AGGTGTCAATCAAAATGTTTGATATCTTGGACTACCTTCAAGTCGAAATCAAAAAAAATGTCAACACTAAGGATACCAGCTGCAACTTTTGATGATGGTTGCTACCATCTTTGCATCATATAAAAACGATTGCAACCACCTTTACAACCATTTTGTTTCCTTTTTTGGATTGCAACATGGAACACTTAGTCAATACACTAAAAGAAAGTATGATGAAAAATATTAAATGAAAATGAATTTACTGAAAATAATGAAAATACAGTTGATGATGGATCCGGGTAATGTTGAATCAGCAACAGATGACAGCAACAATGGAAATTTTATTAGAACATGCAAAAAAATTTTTGGATTGTAAATTTTGTTTTTATTAAATAAATTTGTTTGATTTTTCATACATTGTTCATTTTTTGTCACAATCATATATCTTAAATTTGTTGTGTTTACAATCATTCATTGACATTCATTATATTAAGGTTATTTTGATTATATCGAGAGATATGGTCAAGAGAAAAGTTAGGAAGAGAGTTATTCTTCGACCAAGTCAAAAACCAACCCTTTAAATACATTTTCGAGTAGTACAATTTAATTTATTAGACTATTTCTTCCAACTTCTTAAATTCGTTAATGAAACAATTGTTGGTGAAGTGATTGTTGACAAAATGAATCAAACCCATATTTATTTCTACGTTTATCAAATTCGCGATTTTAATTGGTCAATCAACAAATAGCATGGGTTAAAATTTTGTGTTCCCTCCTGTTAATTTTTGTGTTCCCAGTACGTTCTCTCCTGTTGTGTGTTAACCAAATTTAGTTAGACAGCAAATTCCGCATACTGAATTTTATTGATTGGCAAAAATGATTTTTGGATTAACTCTTCATTCAGAATGTAATAGTAATATAGTTAATAAGTTATTAAGTGTATATGTAGGGTTAAAAACTCCCATCACTAGTAGTATTCAGGCGCGTGTAACATTATCATCCAATTAAATTTTTGAATTTCTGAAGATAGTTTCACACAACTGATGATAATTGGATTGATCCACTTGTAGCAATCTTTATTACTGCCGAGTAATAATAAAATAATGAATAAATTCGTTGAATTATCATTTGAAGTATTTGGTAATGTTCAAGGAGTGTTTTTTAGAAAATATACAAAGGATAAAGCAACAGAATTAGGAATTGTTGGATGGGTAAAAAATTCAAGTAAATTATAATTTATTTTTAATAATATATATATATATATATTTTACAACAATTGTAATTAATTAATTAAATTTGTAATTTATTCATTTAGATAAAGGAACCGTAGTCGGAGTTGCTCAAGGAAAGAATGAAAAAATAATTAGTTTGTAAGTGAATAAATAATAATTCTGATAATGACAATAATGATGATATACCAATAATTTTCAATAATTAATTAATAATTAATTGATTAAAAGAAAGTATTGGTTAAGCAATGTGGGTTCTCCTTATTCGCATATTGAAAGAACAGATTATAGTGAAAGAAATATCGAATTTATTGAATTTACAGAATTTGAAATCAAACATTAGCACGAATTTTAAATTACTATTATTATTACTATTATTACTATTATTATTATTATTATTATTATTATTATTATTATTATTATTATTGTATGCAATAAATGGTTACGAGATAAATATTTCAGGCTTAAAATTCCAAATAACCAATTAAAGAATGAATAATAATAATAATAATAATAATGTGGTCATGATCTTGACCCCACCATATTTTAATTATTCAATATCCTCCATATAGCATTAGTCTAACAAAATCAAAAACTATAGATTCAATAAGAATTTAGTACTTTCCGTTTCTTGGGTTGAAATTCTTGTTATTATTGACATATAAATTGATAAGTTCAACAACTTCTTCAACCCTCATATCAAATTCTTTTCTAGTGCTGCGGATTAAATCTGTATATTTTATATTTTTTAGTAAGCCCAACTTACTTTCCACAACTTAGTCATACTAACAAATCCAAGGCTTCTACAACATTTTTTCCATGATCGTTTGGACCCTTGGTAGGTTTCCCATCCATTTTTTTTTTATAATAAGGACTTCCTTGCTAGAAGATCCTTCCTTTAATTTAGTGATTACAACAACTCTTTACCTAAATTTCTAGGTCTGTTGAAATCACAAACAAATTCTTGAGAATTTGGTCTTCTTTTAGCATCTCAATAATGCTTCTCTTTCCCGATCTCTCTGCACGAAGCTAACATGGTGGACTTTCTCTGTGAATGAATATTCATTGACAATGTAAACTTTTACTATAAGATATGTTGAGGCAGCAGGAATATTCTATATATACATATATAATCTAAATGAAATTGAGAGAAATATTTATCTGTTGAAACTTGTTATATATGTACCTAGATTATATATAATATAAACTTAGTTCATTCAACACATTCGCTATTACGCCGCTATGATACTCATACCTTCTTTTGGTCCAGTACTCCTTTACACTGTTTAGGGCTATAAAATACTTTATAGTATTAATTAGTTGATTATTTATTAAGTAGCAATAAAAATATATTAATTAATATTTAAATTTAAAGGATAATTTTCTGCTCTTTTGATTATTTTTAAAATGTTTTTGATACAATGTAAAGTTTTCACCATATCAACCAATTACTGAATTATAAGAAGTTCCATCGTTTAAATCAGGAATTTTTAAACTAATTTTCTGTATATTGTATTTTATAAAGTTAAAAAACGCGTATCAATTTTATACCAATATTTCAGTAAATTGTATAGTTAATAATAAACTCAATATTTATATTTTTTTATCTATAATGAATGATAATATCCTTGGGATCACTAAATAACCCTTTTTTAAAAATTATTATGGAAAGAGTACCATCAATAATACTACCTTTTGAAAATTGTTTTATGAAAACGAGGATTACTTAAATAAGTAATAATGATAGTAATAGTAATAATAGCAAATAATGGTAATAGTAACAATAGTAGCAGTAATAGTAATTAATGGATCAGATTCATCAAAAGAAGAAGAAGGCAGTGATTATAAATTATTATTATTATTATTATTATTATTACTTTCTTGTTCATCTCTTTATTCATTTTCACTTGCTCCTTCCATAAGATTCAATAACGACAAGGCCTGCTTCTGCTATTCTTCCTGTATTTTACATTCCTCCTACTCTTACTACTCCTTTAAGAGTTACTGAAGATGCTCAAATCACCAGCCATAATACATTAATTCAACATTATCAATACCTACGTCGATCTTATTAAGAAAAACCGCATATTAAAAACATGAATAAAGAGTCGGTAAAAAGATCAATAAATACTTTTTGTTTGGCAAACAATTTTTTCCTTTATGAAGAACAAACAAATTAATTCTTCGAAAATTATTATTACGTGCAAAAAAATTTGAATATATTAATTTCTTTTTTTTATTAAGAATATTTTTAATGAATTATTGTAGTTTTTTTTCCTTAATTCAATAATAAGGTGTGAGCTATTTTTATAGCATGATTGAGCAGAATTGCAATCGTAAAGGATTTAAAGCAGTAAAGTAAGCAATAATCACCGGCAATTTTGAATCATTATCCCATGGACCATCCAAAAACAAAAAAAAATTTTAATTGTACAATAGTTGTTCGCCCTTCTTAATAAATGATCTCTGTAATTCCATAATTATTTTTCATAGTTGCCAAAATTTATTTCTGTGATTATTTGAATTCTTCAAGTCAAATGGCATACTAATATATAGTTATTTTATGTTCATTCATGTAAAGATTATTGAGAATCCGTAATTATTACCTTTTCTCCAAAAAAAAAAAAATCATGGCAAACAACTATGAATCTGACATTTGTAAATGCTGCGCCCTCCATAAATGCATGTAATCCCGATTTCTTGCATTTTTTGCATTGGTTTCTTCAACATCATCCGTTAAAATATGCTATTGATAATATTGCACCCATTTTTATATATTATTAATTTATTAATTTAAATTATAATATTTATTGCAAAAGAAAAACATGCTTGTCTTGGAGGTGGGAATTTTATTTTTAAAATTTAAAATTCTTAAATAAATACTCTGAACTAATGTAATTTCTTTGTATATAACAAAAAATTGAAAACGGATGATGACCATTATTGAATTTGAAAAATCTTGTATATGTATCGATAAAAAAAAAATTAAAAATTATACAAATTATTTGAATTTCATTATAATACAACTTGCAAAAAGCATCAGTTATCTTAATGTTCCTTCATCATTTTCAACATTTTACGACCTTTCTTATGATCATCAGGTGTTCTACCAACACGACTTTGGGGTCCAAATTGTTTTTTCGTTACAAAATTCCAAAGTAACATAACCCATGACGTGTGATATGATAAAGTATCATAATACTCTGATGCGATTTTACGGACTTGGGGTAGATTTGTCCATGGAACCTGAATAAACGGGATTCAATGTTTAATTTCAATTAATATTAAATATTATTAATAAATAGATTAAATAAATTAATAAATTAATATTATCTCCTACCTACTTTTACAAAATCATGATGCTCGTTATGATACCCAATATTTATCAAGACTATGTTTAAACACCCATAATAAGAATAAGTTTCTTGACCATCTTCAAAGGTATAATGCTCCTGGATGAAATGAGCAGCAGCAGGATGTGCACCAAAACCAAACCATAATGATAAAACCAAATACATTAAACCTCTAAATCCACAATACTTGTAAATCATAATATTTGTTGTAATTGTAAACACCCAATTAACGTATTCCCAAAAACTTGGACTTTTCTGCATAGCCAATCCTCTGACGACATACATGATAGGATAAATATTTAACCAAAGAAATTTTAAAAATGCATTGCCACGAATCATTTTCTTTTCCCATTCCAAAGGCAGATCAGGATCTGAACCCAAAACACCTTGATATGTGTGATGTTCAAGATGATAACGACGAAATGACAT